CCTCCGGAAGCGAAGCCTGGGTGCCGTGTCGGGATCAGGTTTCCGTTCTTTGTCCCCGAGCCCGGTTCTCTCTCACACGCGCGCAACAACCTGCCCCTCTACCCGGCTCGTGTTGCTTCTTGTCCCTTCTTGTTTCGTTTCTTCGTTTAATGCGACTCTGAGTTCACAGCCGGGGCTGACTGGTCCTCTCTCGCGGGCCCCTTAGTATCACAACGAGGGTGTGCTGAAGAAGTATACGCCCAAGCTGAAGGTCGGAGAGATCAAGGAAGCCGCCAAGCTGTGAAACCGAAGCCAACTGCGGATAACGATTCGAAACCATAATTGTCTCTAAGATTGTCCTGTTTTTCTTTCCGTGGCTCTTCCCCTTGACCCCCAACGGAGGGTCCGTGTGGTTCCCTATGTCTCGATTCCTCGCTTCCGTGCATAGAACAAAAGAAGAGCATATACACATATACAGACAGGAACCGAACTCGTCTGCAGACACTGCAGCATGTGTCAATGGACTGTGAGCTAGAGAGAAGGATGAGGGGGGATGATCATTTATATCATACTGCCGGGGCTGGCGATCTTGTGTGTGGAGGTCCCAATCTTGTTGCTGTGCATTGTTCGAGCGGGAGGGATTATGGCTTTTATCAGTTCAATTATATTCTTTTCACCCAAAGACGGCATATTTGCATCCAAAGAGGGTTACAATTTTGGGATACCTTCCGCACCCATAAAGGATAAGACATTAGACAATATCATCTTCGATAAGCGCAGAGAAGAGAAAGACAGAGCGAGAGATGGTATCTAAGACGCTTATAACGCCTGCAGATCGGGTACGCTAGAATCAAAAAAAGCAAATGCATGTAACATATCGGTTAAAAGAGGACAAAATAGCCTCTACTGCTACCGTTTCTGTGACGGTACAGATAGAGACGTTGCTGTCTCAACCTGCTCAGAACTCTGCAAAGGGGTCAACACGGCGAACAGGCTCACCGCCAGTTCGATGCGGAGAAGTAGGATTATGAGCCGCGCTCCATGTGCTAGATGCCTTCCGGCTGTGTCGGCCGGATGGAGGCCCCCGGGTTTTGTCCGTTTGATCAATGAAGGCCTCCATGCGAACAGTTCCGATTGCATCGAAGAAGTTCCCCGTCCTCGAGCCAGTCTCAGATGTACGTTGACTGACGCTGTTGGGTATGCTGTGAATTCCAGGCCCGTAAGACTGAGCGACATACGTGTCAGAGGAGCCTCGCGTGGACTCAACCGACGGTATTGAGCCTTGACTGGAGAAGCTCCGCATCATTGGCATCCGTGGCATGGTGTTGCTTCGTTTTCGCGAATGGTTTGAGAACCGTGGCACCGTCGGAGGGTCAGCAGCATCCATAGATGGATTAGACTCAAAGCCAGTTGGAAGCTCAGGAACGGGTTCGACTTGCCCGAGGAAAGATCGTTTCCCCTTGGGTCGGGGCCGGGGCCGTCCCTTGGCTATCCGGATTGAGTCACGGATTGGATTGCGGCGGAGAGAGGGCGATGGGGCGGCTGCAGTGCCTTCATCCTGTGGCACGGGGGGCAGGGCAGCCAGATCATGAATACCACTAGGAGTGTGACTTAGGAAAGACAATGCCGTCAGCCAGACATAATGTCGTTCCACGCTCGTGGCAGTGAACTTGAGAGCACGTTGTGGCGTCAAAATGAGAATTGATCGATTAAAGTGACTCTGTGTATTAAATCCCTTCGGCAGCGGGTTGTCATCCTTGACATCAAGAACGGACTGGATCATCACTGTAACCACGTTAGTCACGCCAGGTACTTATTGGGTCGCATAAGAGAGCACTCACACTTTCGGCCACTCTTGCCCAGCAGCGCAGGCCCACTCGTAGGCTGCTTGCTGCTCCACATGACGGCACGCTCATAGGGTGCCAGCCAGACCCAGCGCTTGTGCCTTACACCACTGTTGGTGATATTCGCCGATACCTCATCGGCACTGCGCCCTTCCCAACTCTCTTTGTGCTCTCCAACACCACCGAATGATCTCCTCCTCCTGATGTATTTGTACATCCATTCCCCGACCATGGTCTGTGCGATAGCATCAACAACACTGGTGGGCTGGACGGATGTTGCTGTGGAACCTTGCCGTCCATGAGAAAAGGTGCGAGATGCTGTTGGAGCAAAAGCTGAGCGCCGTTGGACGGCTTGGCTTTCGGATGGGGCAGTAAAGTCCTCATATGGAAGTGAAGGGTGCGGCGGACTGACAGGACTGCACGACGAAGTAGATGTCGGCGACGACCGGCTTTCAGGCCGTTCTGTCTGCGCCATAGCAGTCGCAGACCGCACACGCCGGAGGGTTGGACGCCGCATCACCCGCCCACGTCCACGATCGGAAAAAGTTCCAGGATTCGATGGTGTTGGACTTTGTTGACCATCACCTCGACGGGCGGGGAACTTTCTTGAACTGAGCCGGATTGGGACAGGAATAGGAGGAGCAATGTGGGAGGCACTGGTTGCGCGGCCATCATCAATACTAGGATCACTGGGGCTTCGAGCACGCGAAATTTGACGAGCCGCGGTTCCATTGGGTACCATGGCTGCTTTGCGAAAGTTCTGTCTCCGGTGACCTTGTCCCATTCGCTGACTCCAAGAAGACCCGGGCCTGTCTTTAGTTTCGTAGTCTAGGGATACTTCTGGATCACAAGCCTCTGACTTTGATATATGCTCATCAATTTCGGCCAACACACCTCCGTCCAAGCTTGAGCCGTCTTGAGTCGAGACCAGCTTGCCTCTTTTCAGCGTATAAGAAGCGAATGGTCGATTTAGGAGATCGTCATCGGTGAGGACTTCGTTGACTTTATTCGGTAACTCTTCATCACTTCCCTGCTCAAAGCCAGCAAAGAGACTACTCGAGCGAAGTGGACGTCTGAGCTTGCTTTCTGATCCCTCTACCAAAGGACCATTGTCATTGTTGCCTGGATAAGCTTGTACCGTCGCAAGCGGCCCGGTTTCCTGATTAGGCTTGATTTCTCTCTTCTTAGACCGGGGAGGTGGTGGGCAGTATGGCTGAACAGGAAGATACTCGGTCACATTGTAGAACGGCAGGTCTGGAATAGCGGATGGGAGCAAGCTAGCTGGCAATTTGACTGGCTGTTGGCTTATCTTTATCTCTTCTGTTTGGATTCCAATCGCCCGACAGTCGGAATTCGAGCTAAAACTGGCTTGACAAGACACGCTCCTGGTTTGTGGTGGGAGAACTACGCTACCTCGAGGAGAAGGTGGTTCAGAGCAAGGGGGGTGTATTGCGATCATCGGTATCTCGAGTCCCGACGCGCTCATGTCGCCAAGCGACATACTGATTCGCTGCTCATCAGGTTCCCCAACTGGATGTTCAATTGTTTGCATGGAAGATGAAACCATCAAAACTGGTTTGGGTGCTTGGACATCGTCTAGGCTGGGTGTCCACGGAGGTGTGGGGAGGCCTGCCACGGTTTGACAGGAAGCGGATACCATGTCGATGGTCAGAGTTGATGTACTGATATCTCTCACTTGGCACGAACACCGGCTTTCTTCACTCTCATTTTCGTCCGGAGCCTGAGCTGAGGCGTCGATCTCAGGTAGGCAGTCCGATGTGGGTGACGGAGGAAGAGAATACTGCACCCCGGTATCTCGATACACGAATGTGTTTGAAGAGAATCTCAGAGGGCTACCAGGCTCCGACGCTAGTTCATTCTTGGCACCATAACCCTCTATGCTACCAAGCGAAAGTCCCAGGATTTTCCTAGCCTTTGCCCCCATGCTTATTGTGCTGGACAGCTGTGAATGTACCGAGACGGGCCGCTCCTCTGGTAGAGCCTCAGGAGATACAGGTCTGAAGCTGTGGTCGAAAGACTGAAACTCATCATCTTCATCAAAAGCAAGCTCTTGGGCCAAATTCAATCCTTCACCTTTGACCACTGGAAAGTTGGTAACGCTTGCCATAGAGTAGCGTACATTGTGGTAGTCGAGTTCGTCGCAGTTGCCAGTACTAGTACTCATGATGCTGGTCCGGCGGCGTCCTTCGCTGCTTGAGACGATGCTCGTGGAATCACTGTCCTTGCTTGTAAGCCTCTCGTTGGCGCCTGTCACGCGTTCGCTCTCCCGCGTGGGATGAAAAGAGCGTGCTTCCTGTGCTGCAGCCACCTCATTCAAGACGACCTTCAGCCGACCTTCAACCACATGGATTTTCCGTTCCAAGGTTCTGCGTTCCCGGTCCCAATTGTCCTTCTCTCGATCCCACAGCTGCACTGTTCTTTCTGTCTCCTCTTCGAGACTGCGAGCCTTTTTTTGTGCTTGCTCTTGTTTCTTGCGAAGATCTGCAATGTTTGCGAATGCTTGGTCCCGCTCCTTGGCGAGTTCACTGATAGCGGAGGACGAGCCACCTTCCAAAAGCTGCAGCTGCTGCTTGAGCGAGCGAGACTCTTTCATGCTCTTCGATAGTCGTTCAGTAAGGCTGCCATTCTCTGTACGTGATTCGTCCAAAGTATGCTCCAAACTTTCAATCGCCTTCAGTTTACTCTCCACATCTCGCCGGAGCGAAAGGATTTCTGACACCAAAGAGGCATGCAGAGTTGGGGTGAACCGCCGCGGATCTAGCGGTGAAAGATTGTCGTCCTCCACATTATCATCATAGTCGCTGAGACCCGGGGGCGAGAAGCTGTGAATTGGCAGTGAATTGAATGAGGAGAGGTCACTTAAGTCCACTTGTAATCGAATGGACGGGGCTCTTGGGGGTGTAGACGAAAGAGGTGGAAAGCTCTTTGCCACTGGAGAGCTGGTATATATGCTATTGGCGGCCATTGCGTTCGTATCAGAAGAGATAGCTTTCAAGAAGCATCCCCTTGATGGTGACGGATCAATCAGATCTTGCCGGAATGTGTTATGCAGCATCCATGTATGCCGCGTCTCCTGAGTGGCGTAGAATAGCTCCGCCGACCCCTCGATGGAGAACAAGTCGTTGGCCAACCAGTAGCTGTAGGACTCGATCAAGGAGACTTTCCGACTTCTAGACAACAGATAGCATTAATCATAACCAGTCAGTCTTTGATGTTCAAGGGACAGAGCGAAAGGCCGAAAACATGGTTGGAGGTAGTGAAATGGCATACATTAAGCCGGCACTCGACGCTTGCGCGTCCTGTGGCCTTCTTGGGCGATTCGTGCAGAAAGAACAGGCAGATGCGGGCGTGAGGATACTCAGCAAGATATCTGTGGTAAAGAACGCTGCCCGTCACTTAGTGAGAGGAAGGGAAGGTGTTTGAAGTATGATGGGCGACGTAGGGGGAGTCGAACAGGAAGTATGGAGGAACAGAGGCGAAGTACTGAATCTGGTAGCAGCGCAACTGCGGCGTCGCGGACCCGGAAACACGAATGATATTTTCTTCCTTGTCTTGGTTTATCTTGCCTTGCCTTGCCTTTTTTTAGAAAAAAAAACATAAATAAAAAAGAAAGAAAAAACAGAACCGACAAAATTAAATCATGTACTGTACATCCCAGTAGGTCCGAGATTCTAGCCAGACTGGCCATCTGAGGGGAAGGGAAAGATTATCAGTGAAGGCGTCTGTTTGATCACACCCGATTAAGCACTAAATTGGGGCTTGCGCCTGCACAGAAACCTTGTCCGAGCTTCGAATAGAGAGTCGGCCGGTCATAGTCATTGATTGGATTAGGACGAGATAACTTAGACAACGTTACAAAAGGACGAACAACAAGTCCAACGGGGTTAGCTTCAACCAGGGGTGTTCGCTAGATTAGGGGGATGTGGATGTGGGATACTTTGGTGGGGAAGGGGAACGCAAATGAGATGAGTTATCATCGAAGGCAATCTCCACGTACCTACCAATTATTTGTTAGTGAGGAGAGGTCACCAAACGACTCCACCAGAGCTTGCCACTGCTGGCCTAGAGAGCGATACCGATCCAATCAAATCTCGATAGATAGAGATGAGGTTGTACTCGAGTAGGGCGACAGGTTCGGCTGAGGATGCAGGTACATGGGTTGGGAGGAGGAAGAAAGAATGTGCGGACTCTACGGAGCAATCAGTGTGAGTGACTAACTTTGTTATGCTAGTAACTTAATCAGCTCTGTTGATTCAGCCAGTGGGGAATAATAAAAGGAGGCGGCGGAGGAAGCAGAAGATGAAAAAGAGGAGAGAGAACAACGGCGCGCGTGCCGGAGGTGGGAGGGGGAGAGGAGGGGAGAGAGGAGAGAGGGAGGGAAAAGGAGGTCAACTATCTTGCCTGTCCATTTAGGCGGAAGATCGTCACTGTCTGTTTTCCATAATGGAAAAGAGAGGGACAAGAATCACCGAGTTTCATATATCATGAAAAATGGATGAACAAAACGGAGTCCACGAACAAAGAAACCAACCGTGTTTATCCACGAGCCATTAAGTCACTAATGCAGCAACGAAGGCTGCAGGTGCTGTAGTTAAGAGAGATTCGAGACGCAGAGTGCTAAGCACCGGTTGTGACGGGGGTTCGTGTCAAGCGCTAGGCAGTTAGTTAGTCGTGGAGCTAGATACACTAACTAGTTACTCCGTACTATAGTTAGTCAAGTTAGTCCGGGACCCGCTGGTTTTGAGACAATTCGCCTTTTGGCACTCTGGATATTGAGTGTGTATCCTTCCCGAGCATCATAACTTTATGATGATTGTATTCCAGCCCTTCTTCGTTGTTGGCCAGGTTGAGCAAACTATTTTCATCTTGACCCGGTCAGGGTAGGTGAACAATGGCAGTCCGTTTGCGCATAGCGTTCTGAAGGCTTACCAGATGTCAACGTGCAAGAGAGCAAGCAGCGTTGTCGTTCGCCTCTCAGTAATCTCTACAGTGGTGAGTTAGTAAGTCATCATCGGAAACGCTCTCGATATTGCGTCTACCCTCGAGTTGATCATCGAAAATCCGTGGCCCGTGTTGTAGACGCCATTATTGAACTGGTCAAGTCCGGTATTCCTCTGACTAGCCCTATGAGCCGATATGAGGGAGCCCAGCCTACAAATAGACTCGCGCAATATTTTAGGAGGTGGATAGATCAACGTACGCTGGTGGACCGTTGAGCGCGCTTCGATGAGCATTATGCTGGTGCAGCGTGCCTCGTGCTTTTCAATTGACGTCGGAGTTGGAAATATCCTGGAGGATCGAGCAAGGTCTGAGGGGAAAAACGAGCATAGAAAACCAGCCGGGAAGGATCCTTGGATGTTGGGTCGGCCCAGCTCGAGCTCCCCACCCCTTTTTTTCGCCGTTCCCTGGTTCAGGAATAGACACCAGAGGCGACGGACGGGCCGGCGCTCAACTTTTGAGAAGTGACCCCATTCCGGAAATTAGAGGCGGAGCAGCGACAAGCCCTTGCTTAGCCTTGGTGGTCGAATCGCCGGTGTAGTTCTTCCTTTGACTGCTCGTATGCGCTTGAAAATGGGCTGAATTTTACGAATCTGTCAGGCAGCACAAATCTCGGACCTGCGGGTCGATATTAATATCATAGTGAATTATGACCTTGGCGGGCAATTGGTACGGGGACGGAGTTTTCGCAGGGCCTTTCAAGGTGGAAGTTTCCCATTAAGCAATGCGTCCGTTCGCATTCGATCGTCATCGAAGGGCTATGATGATGTGCACTAGACAGGTTGTGGAATTAGAGAACTTTCTTATAGCATAACTATCGGCCGTCAGTCAGCCTGGAGCTTGAAATAGATGAACGTGGAGAATAAGTAGTCTGTCGCAGACTCGCAGCTACATAGTAACTTAGTTACGGTACGTACTGTACCATAAATCATCCAGACTGGCTTTATCCTTGGCGACCCACGCGGCAAAACGACTAGCTTTTGCGCCTGCCGGACGCCGGCTCAGGGGCAAAAGCGCGCGACTTGGAACTGACAGGTCAACCGTGCACGGAAAGAAGTGTCTCGGATGCTGAGGGTTGTCAGTCAGCATTGGAATAACTGCCCATCCACTTGCAATGCTGACCTCGATGCTGTCAAAGGAAAGAGAGGGCATTTACGGAGTAGATATCGGGTAGATAGGCAAGATACAGCAGTACCTAGTACCTAGTACCTAGCATTTTCAAACCTTTCTCCCTGGATTTATCAATTGGTTAGGACAATGCAGAAAGAATGAAAGAAGAGACAGCCGCAAGAAAGAAACACAGTACCTACTATGTACAGTACGTTTGCTTGGAGACCCCAGGGGGATGTCTGGGTCGAACAACGAACTGGGATTGCGCCGTTGAACGCGGCGATCATTGGGTTGCAGCTGCAGCTGTCACAATCACCAAATAGAAGATGACTAATGCAGAGAGCCTGCCTCCTTCTCCTCCTCTCTTTTAGGTTTCTTCAATTGACCATGCAATAAGTTGATAACTAACTCATTTTAGAGCTTGGAAGGCCTTCCCGACCGACCTTCGACCTAAATGCAGCAGGTCTTAGCACGCTAATGATGAGATGTGATGGCCCTCGCATGATGATCATTCTAGTCCATCAAACGAAATTGATCTTATTGCCCCCTTGGTGAGTTTCCTATTTGACCCAATGGTTCTATGGGAGTATGGAGTGACTACCTACCTATGGAGTACGGAGTACTAATCAACTCAATGCAGGTCATTGGTCATTACCGATTACGTATAGTTAACTAAGTTAAAGTTAGCTATGGACTCTAACCAGCTTACCCCGCCACGTCTTATCCTCGGCTCGACAACCACGATCTGGGACGTCGATAAATTGCGCTATCAAGCTCGCTCTCATTAATTGCACGCGGACTGAGTAGCTTCAGATAACACTAGACTGAGCACAGAAAATGAGGTGAGAAACAGAAATTTGAAAGCTCATCGCTACGGGAACTCATTCACGCTCTGATGGCGAACACATCAATTCTCAAAGTGCTATTTTTCGATGTCTTTGGAACGGTTGTAGAATGGCGTAATTGTGTCGCCAACTCTCTGAGGGAAGCTGCTGAGTGCGCATTGCGAGACCCCAGGAAAACACTCTCGTCCGCTCTGCGTGCCCGCGCGACGGCCATGTCCTCCAACGACTGGCAGGATTTGGTGGAAGAATGGAGGGCGTCCTACGGCCGATTCACAAGAACCTTTGACCCGACCCAAGCTTTTATCTCCGTTGATGAACACCATTTCCACTCCATCCAGAAGCTGCTCCACGAGCAGAACTTAAAAGGACTGTTCACCGAGGATGAACTATGGGAGCTTGTTCTTACCTGGCACCGACTCGAGCCGTGGCCTGATTCAGTCAACGGCCTTGAATTACTCAACCGTCGTTTCCGGACCTGCACTTTGTCCAATGGCAACGTCTCTCTCTTGAAGGACCTCCAACGCCATGGATCTCTGCCCTTCACGGATATTGTCAGTGCTCAACACTTTGGGGCATATAAGCCGTCGCCACAGGTGTACACTGGCGCAGCAAAGCGCTTTGGACTGGATCCCCGCAATTGTGCAATGGTGGCTGCACACCTTTATGATCTGAAAGCCGCCAAAGCCCTAGGATTTGCGACCATTTATGTGGAACGAAACGAGGAGAGTCTCACTCCTCAAGAGATTGCTCAAGCCAAAGAGCAGTATGTGGACGAGTGGGTTGATGGTGCCACGGATGGATTGATCGAGGTCGCCCGGCGCCTAGGCATTCCTGAAGAACCCTGACATAGCGAATACCTGTCAATAGGCCTGAAGGTGGGCTTTTCTTGGTCTTCGTGCTTCAGAGTTGTAGGAAGAAAAGTCATATACGATACGGCCCCACAGGCTCAGTCGGCTCCAACCTGGACTCAGTGTATCATGATACCTCTGGCATCGCAGGCACTGAACGTTTACACATCTCATTAATATACCCACAAACGCAAGGTCATCGCTTCGCAAGTCTGACTGCATGCTGTAGCATTGATTCTCAACCAGTCAAGTAGCTCTTGGTCTATCAGCGCAGGCCCAGTCCTGTAATTCATGCGGGGTTGCAGGAATGACAACATCGCGTCGATTTGTCAGCGGTCAGCACAGGTTCGTAATTAGTCCCCCAGTCTTCGAGCAGCCAGGCTATTTAGTTTCAAGGTGACCGGACGGTTCTGATGCAGTGATCGTGATGGTCGATCGCAATCTTTGACAATTCGGTGTCATCACAATGTCTGAGCAGGTATGTAGGTTTGCATTACCTGTTGTCGATGAGCAATCATTATTGACTTCTTAGAAATCTGGCGTACACTCTCAGGCCGATGCGGACGGCCACTTCAGGCGTAAACCAGCTGCGTTTCGCTCCTCTATCTCGCGTGATCCTAACGCAGAATTTCCGGCGCAGAAGGATCGTTATGTGTTATACATCAACTTTGGGTGTCCATGGGCACATCGGACTAATTTAGTCCGGTCACTCAAAGGTCTAGATGATATAGTCCAGCTAGTTGTTCTCGATCCCGAGTTGGGACCGGACGGTTGGTTCTTCTCTGATAGATATGGGTCTGCGCCAGTGGATCCTTTGTATGGCTTCGAGAGGTTGAGCCAATTTTACTTCAAAGCAGATCCTAACTATGAAGGCCGATACACAGTCCCAATGCTATGGGACAAGAAAAAAGAGACAATTGTCAACAATGAGAGTGGCGAGATTATCCGCATGTTTTATTCCGAGTTCGACGATTTACTTCCCCATGAGCTGCGAGAGACCCATCGGCTTGGTGGAAATTTCTACCCGCCACACTTGAGAGCTGAGATCGATGCGATGAACTCATGGGTTTACGACAAAATCAATAACGGAGTGTACAAAACTGGATTTGCCACGACACAGGAGGCTTATCTAGACAACCTATACCCGCTTTTCGAAGCACTAGATCGGATTGAAGACCATCTGGCCCAGCCAGGGCATCAACCATATCTCTTCGGGAAAGAGATCACGGAAGCAGACATCCGATTGTATCCGACCATTGCTCGATTTGATGTGGCTTACTATTTGATCTTTCGGTGCAACCTCAAGATGATCAGACATGACTACCCGTTGATTGACCGCTGGTATCGGGGGTTGTATTATGATGAGACCTCACGTACCCAAGGCGGAGCATTCAAGAAGACTACGTTCTTCGAGATTGTGAGTCGGGCATTGATACATCAAAATAGGACTATCACTAATGTCGTCCGATAGTATAAGTTCGGGTACCTGAAGTCTTTAGGGAAGCGATTGGGCAGCCTACAGACGATCATTCCGGCAGGCCCGGCTCCAGACATCCTGCCTGCGAGCCTATAATAGTTGAGGGGCGGCATGCATGGCGCAGAGACTAATCAGTGCTAGATGGGGCGATCTGGCGATCTCCATGTAACTAACGCACTCTTATCCCATGCATACCTTCTCATGAAAGGGTTTATATTTCTAAGAGACCCCACTTGCAGCACTGTTTCACAGCTATAGAGGCCCTGACATGCTATCCTAAGCCAACGCCATTGTCACGGAGATAGGGTAGTAATTCACCTTTTTATGATCTCGATGCAGGGATAATAGGTTGCGAGGATCGTCGTGCCTCCTCTCTTAGTTGAGCCGGGTGATCTCCGGAGCTCGGGCTGCAAACAGGGTTCACGCTGGCTGAAAGGTCGGTTCAGGTCGAATATATTAGAAGTTAGACAGAGTCAGTTGGCAGTGTTCGAGCACTCCTGGCTGGTAGATCGCAGTGTGTTTCACCAGTTCCAACGACAGAGTGTTCCAGCTCGATACAATAGTATACCAAGACGCAATTGTCCAGATAACGGACTAGCTTACCAGAAATGTCCCAACCACGCGAGAAACAAGGGTTCACAGTCGTACCTAACAGTTTCATAGTCATGGATTGGACTTTGCTCGAACAGAAAACTCATTAGATTTTGTTCTCATTGGATATCCAGTTCCGATGGCGGCCAGGCATCCGAGAAGCCATGGAACTTAACTGAACGCACGTGAGGTCGGTGCACTGGTTGGGTGCCTCGAGTGCATCGGGTACATCCAGGGGGCAAGTAGGATTAACGTAGGTACGTAGCGTAAGGCAGGTGGAATGGGAAAGATCCACGATCTTCTTCTTTATACTGTACTCATACTTAACTCTACTCTCCTCATTCTTCCATCCAGCGTCGTCTCATCTCATGCTGCAAGCCAGGTTACGTATACGACCGGACAGCCAAGGATCAATTGCTGTCGCTGTATCCATGGGAGACTTGGCATTCTAGTTATCTCCACCACCACCTCCTCATCCCCCCTTCTCATCTCCCCTGATGCCATCATAGAAAGTAGTTAACTAGTACCGCGCTTTTTGGTTATCTCTTTTATGTTGACTATCCACGTCATGTCTAATTTGCTTTCGTCACTTTTACGAGGTCTGCTGTTACCATACAGAGTGTAACGGAGTGGTAACAACTCGTAACTGGTAACCAACTGTCAAGGTGCACGGGGAATGGCCATGTGCTCGAGTGGGCAGGGGTGGTTGCCGCAAGTCAGCGACCGTCCCATAGCGGTGGGACGCCGGCCCCTGATCCCGTTCTCCGTATCCATGATGGTTTTTATCCACCCACGGTGCATATGAATGTGTCGTATGTTCCTAACTTCCTTAGCTGCATATCTATCAAAGTACAATAGTCAGTATGAAAAGACGATGACTTATGTCTTGCGTCTGTAACTTTTAACTAGGTACATGTAGTTAGTTATCACAAGCCGGCCTATTTAGGCATCCTAACGATGACATGATGGTTGATGAATGATGCAGCATGATTTATCATGGCTGGTGATCATGGATAACCATGGTAGCTGCCTATTGAGAACTAGTGCTCTCGAGATCTGCTGTTGAAGAGGACCGAGTCAGTTTAATTGGAAAAGGACACATACTCAGATTACCAACGACGTATCGACAGTAAAGTGATCTAACTGATTCGGGATTACGGACCGCTGCGGTGCAGTCTCCGAGAGCTAGTAGCATTCCACGTGGGATGAAAGCCGGGGCTGGGAAATTAGATAGGCGGAAGAGCTGTGGTGAACCTCGCCAGGAAACGCCGCTGTAGTATGCTGGTTCATATTAAGATTAAATTTGACTGTCATTCTGGTTGGCCATTGGCAAGAGCCCAGACTAACTGCTTGATAAGCATTGGGTGGAAGGAAGGCACTCTTTCTGCCAATCGTGTGTTCACTCAACCAATGCTGCTTGTCGGCCTAGCCGCCGATCCAAATCCTAGGCTCATCTGTCTCCCCTTTGAAACATTCATCCTCCATTCCAGCAGAGTTGCCAATCAATCAGTCAGTCAGTCAGTCAGACTGGTTGGGTTACTAGAACTAGAACAAGAACCTCCCGTGCTCACACTATGGCTCGGCCCGACATCTGTTCCTCTGTTCCGGCTGCGCCTCAAGTTCTCGCTGGTGCGTGGAATCCCTGTTAGGAGTCGATTCATAGATAGTAGCAGGAGACGCAGTAAACTGATGTCATAGAAGCCTAGTGCCTTCCAGAAGCAATTCAATGATTTTTCTGGAAGCTCATCAGGTTGGAGTACCTTCCGTGTACCGAGTACCGATGTGATAATAGGGGTTAATTGGGATCCACCGAGCTGCTTAGCTATCATGGATTATCCTTTTCCTCGGGAGGCCCAAACTAGACTGGACTGGCAGAGGGTTCGCCAACTTCGCCTAGACGTCATATACTTAGGAAAACTGCTGCTGAGCTTCGGTTCTCCTCAGCACTCAAAAGATAGGCAAAGGGAAGTGTGTAGATACATATGGTATGGCAGCAGCAGCAGCCGCAGTAGCAGCCGCAGGATGAGAAGTGGGATGGTATCTTGTTACACTCTATCTAGTTTCCTTTCTTGTCCTCACCTCCTCATCGATTCATGTCGCTTTTGTTACCAGAGAAAATCCTGACATGGATTGCGACTTTCTTGGAGGTGGGATTATCCTGGGACCGGGAAAGTTACGCTTTGGGAATCCCGATAATCAGGAAGATGGGTTTTAGTCTCCTTCTACGGGGCCGCGGAATATTCTACCCTTCTCCCCGTAGCACTTGTGTGGAACAATGATTTCTAAGGACATCACCAACAGTGAAAATCTCCCTGCTGCGCGGGACGGATGGGTCCTCGCCTGTTTTGCATCGGTTGGTCCAGACGATAGCCCATAATTGCTGTATACTTGAAGGCATCCATCCGAACCTGAGACACATCCCGAATCTCTTGCTTGCCACCAGGTCAATTGACCCTGCGCGATCTAGAGTGTGTGACAAAACGTCCTGAAGCACGGGTGATACCACATCAGACTTGAGGCAAGACACATGAGTCTGGTATGCGATTCCTGACCGACCGGGTGTAGTTTAATACCACCGATACCACGTCTTTTCTCTGTGTGTGGGGAGCAGCCATGAAGGTACTAGTGCCGTTGAGCACCCACTTCGTGTCTACCCGAAACCATCCTGAAGAATACTTACTGACTGCATGGTTCATACATTCATGCATACTGGGTACTGGGAAGGCTTGCAATGCGCTCAGAAAACAAAGGAATTGCGGTGGGGGTAGGGGTTAACACATGGAAGCAATGTTCAGATCATTGGCGCAGGCACCGACGGGAGTATCTAATCGGTCAAAGCATACGATGGGTTGGAACCTTGGAACTCTGTAGGGAAGCCTCGGGTTGTCGGTTAGGCCTGTATCAGGAAAGGAAAGATTCTTAGCAACCGGATTGAGTTCAAACGTACTCGTGGTCTAAGTGCGAGCCAAGAGTAAAGTCTTGAATCTCGAGTCTATCATGGCTGAGTGAGTGAATGCTGTTGTAGCTGGTTTGTTTCCATTTCTCAGCTCAAATGTGTAACAAGAGCCTATGGGATGCTTGGATTTGAGGCAATAGAGACCTTACATAATTTAGAATATTCCATAAGAGTGTGATTGAAGCGCAGAGTTGGCGTCCAGCGACTGTACTATGGCTATGTTATGAGAGTATACAATCAACAATCCTTTCAAAAGAGACGGATTATTAGAAGGATATTGTATGATAATGTATTGTACTGGCAAGCTGAAAGTGGCTGCATGCAGACTGCAGACTGCTAGCAGAAGATTGTATTGTATTGTAATGTACTGTACTCCGTGATCAAGTCACCTTGCACAGTTTCTCTTCCCCGGGGCCTTTCATGATAAGTTACCTGCCTGATAAAGTAACTGTACAGTATGTTGTACATAGGTAGGCAATTGGCACGCTTTTCACTACTCAATACTTACTCAACTTATATTACATAGTTAGTACTCCGTAGTCACGCCGCCACGTCCGACTTCTGTTTGCTTAACCTCCCACATTTCCTACTCTCCTCTTTTCCCTCTCGTATCTTTTCCCTTCCGAAACCATATTGCCTTCCACCATCACCCCCCCTCTCCCCATCTACCCCTACGCTCCCCTCCCCTTCCCCTAGGGACTCGTCGTTTTAAAGCTAGTGCAACACAGCTTGCACCGAAGTCATCAACCAATCTTAAACAGACTAAACCGCGGCTGTTGTTCTCCGGCGACAGGGATCACGGTCTCCGCTGCTTCATTTTTATCAACCAATATTTCTCCTCTGTTAACCTCGCCTCTTTGCTTTCTCTACTTTCTCTCGCGCGTTCTCTGTCTCTCTCTTTCTCTTGTCAGCTTGATTTGTTTTCTTTTCAGCCATTCCTTCCTAAACCTACCTCCCGATTAGTCTACCTTTAGTCACATCTTTCGGTCGTCTCTAGTTACCTCCCTCTCACCCCATCTCTCACCCTTTCTCCCTCCCTCCCTCTCTCTCTCTCTTCTCCCACTTACTTCTAATCACCCCTCTCTACCTCATTGCTCCCTGTCTTCTCAGCTCGCCTGCTACCCTGCCCCCCCCCCCCCCAATATCTCCAGTATTAAACCAGGGACCTATTTATCCAGCTGCGGAAGGTCTTGGATCGAGACAGAGATCTATAGGTTAACCCCCTCCCTCTGACACTTCTCCGACTGGCCAAGCCTTTCTTGCTTCTTGGTCCTGCGCATATACCCCTCTCTCCCTTCCCGCCAACTCAATTCAGAAAGTCGTTCGTTCTACCTTAAGCTCATCTACGCAGGCTGACTTCTCCGCCAATTAATCCCTTGCTGACAATTTTTCACTGCGATCTCGCCCCTCTTCTCACGTGGTTAGCATTCATTGTGAAGCACCCATAATCTCGAACTTCATCGTCATCTTTTTTTCTTGTCTCGCAACTTGTGCGAACTTCAGTGATCCCTCCTTAATCTGATTATTCCCGCTCCTCCTCCTCCTCCTCCTCCTCTTCTGGGGAATTTCTCCCCCCTCCCCCTACTCTCCCGCAATCGCTTTCCCATTCCCCCCCGGTTCACGCGGAGTTACGGGTCAGCCAATCGATCAAACTCCGCCCGCTTGCTTGTACCCTTCTGCAACTGTGGGTGGCCGCTTACTTGAGATTCCTCGAGTCAACTCGGAACTTCTCG